CGTGATGTGGAAACTCTTCTTAGAACAGTTTACTCCACTTTCTCTAGATCCACCGTAAAGAGGGGAAAATTGGAAGACCTAGTGTTAAGGTTCAAACATTGAGGAGGAGAGTACAAACAACCTGGTCCAGAAGAGCTTGGTCAAACAATTGATTCTAATAAAATACACTCATGGGAAGACCAGCTCCGTTCGCAGACAGCACTGATCTCCGACTTAATCAAAGCATAAACAGATATTTTATACCATCAGGGCTTAACCTTAATGATGCCCTCTCAACGTCAGGTCCATTTCATACATAGGTCAGATCAAAAGCACAATGACTTTTAACACAGTTTGAAAAGAACATTGTCTTCGTCTTCCTAGCAGATGTTTCCTGTCAAGCTTTCTGATTAGCGCTTCTTCAAGACTGCAGACAATGTTTTGCAGTGAGTGAGCGCTTCTGCAAGCCCACAATTACAAGCAAACATGATATCTCACGACCTTACGTGGCCCTCTGTGTCACCTCTCACCTACTGACGCTCACAGTCAAACAGAGGCCACTGTCAACAATTTACTAGAACTATAGATGTAATATAAATTGAATAAATGTTTTAACCAACTGATACTACTTAAAACTCAATACAAGAATATGAACATATAAAAGATAATAAAAATGACCTGCTATAAGTGTTCTGTAAGCATGTATTGCAGCTATCCTTCTATGTTCTAGTTTCCCTCAGCATGGATCACCTGGACAGTCACGCCAGTGAAGCTTAAGACCCTTAATGAACCGAACATCCACTCAAAATAAGCACAGATATACAATGTGTATAAAATAGTTATAACTGCATCTGGAACACAAGGTTAATATGATAACAGTATGCATAAACATCTTAAGGCCATCTTAAAGCTATCTGTAACATTGTTAAAGCAATGATCACACTGCAGATTATATTGTGCTGGTAAAATACTTTTGTTCATCCCCACACTAGCAAAGGTTCTTGATGAGGACGCACTGTCATTCAGGCCTCTGAGTGAAGTGCGATGGCTGTCGCGGCACCAAGCTGTGAATGCTGTTCTGAGGAACTACACTGTGCTGGAAGAATACTGCAAGAGAGAATCCAGTGATAACAGAGACCCAGTGGCAAATTACAAAAAGCTAACCAACTTCAAGGTTGCTCTCACCGCTCTGGGAGATGTTTTGGGTGAGCTGGCACACCTGTGTCTTTCTTTTCAAAGATGCAACCTGACTGAAGGGCACTGCTTGGCAAGAGCAAAGATTGAGAAGTTGCGTTCCCAATACTTGACAGAGGAAAAGGATGTTAAGTGGAGTGACCGTGTCAAAGAGGCGATGAGGGCCTCATCTGCTGATGAGATTACTCGTGTTATTCGTAAGCTTTGTGATCACTTGGATGCTCGTTTTCCAGAGGATGAATTAAAGG